CAGCCCCTGGTCTCCTTTATAAAGGGCGACCAAAAGCAGGTTCTTTCCACAATCGGCGTTCAATTATGCTTAAACCAGGGTTTGGCCCAATCCTGTGTCCCTCCCCAAACAAATCATTGACTGATTGACAACAGCAAATGCTGACTGCGCCTCACGTTTCCTAGGGCTCCGTTTTTGGACATTCCAAGAGCAAACAAATAAACTTGGCAGATTCCACTGGCAAAAAAAGGAGGGGAGGTTTGCTGGGACCCTTTCTCCAGACGAACGTTTCAGTCCCCCCAAACAACAAAAAATGTAGGAACGGAAACGGAGGTTAGGTCGCCCTTTTTGAGGGGAGTATGGCCACCCGGATTCAGGGGTCCCCATATTTGCCCTTGCAACATCGCCCTTTTGGCCAAAGTAGGAATCCGGCGAATGATCAGACGTTCACATACTCATAGTCCTGAAGGATCTGAAATTAAATGACTGGCCTTCTGAAACCTGATTCGGGGTCATCGTTCCAGCACAAGCACCCCCCACGACTCCCGCCCTTCGTGGTGTGGCCGGCCTCGAGCGGCCGCTAAGCCTCGGCGCAAGCTTGATCCCTTTGTTGCACAAATAGAACATCAACATAAGAATCAAGAACAAACAACAGCAACACCATCAAAACACAATCTGATTTGCATCGTGATCTTGAAACTGGACCCCCAATTGGTCACTGTCATGACTCAAAAACACAGGGCACAAAGGGTCCGAGGGATCCTCTAATATGCAGCCAACCAAGCCAAAGCGGTCAAAAGGCAAAGAAAGGAATCTCAAGAACCAAAAACATTCCCTTCCCCTTACAAAGGCCCTATCAAAATCCGACTGCCCAGGCCACCCCCATCGCCCATAGACCCACTCTGCGGCTCCACTCAGCTGCCCGCTTCGAATGCAGGCCCAGCAGACCGCAGGCAGCCAGCGCCTGTAGAGGGAAAAGGCGCGAGCTCGCGCGTTGTTTCGTCCGGGCGGCGCCGTCTGTGTAAATATGTATGCATGTGAACATGTAACACGTGTATGTATATATTCACACACCATATCTCAATTGCTTGCTTACTTATGTTTTTACCTATACATCTCTCTATGAATCTACCATGAAATAGCAAGTCGCTCCTAGCTAAATTGGAACGCATCCCTTTCATCACAGAAACCCTCCCTCCAACACACCTTGCACCCTCCCACAACAAGGTGAAAAGTGTACCACGGCTCAAAGAAAACTCGCTGGCAACGTCTGCCTCCGGCCTCCTTTGCGCCCACATGCTCGAAACCGTCGCTCGGCGCACGCTCAGCGAAGCCAGATGCGGAGCGCGCGGAGCGCGCGGAGCGCGCAAGTCCGGGCGCAACCGGGGCCTCGGCGAAGCGTGGGGGCTTGGGATGGTTTGACTCCGCCCCTAACAATCCAAGGGCACTTAAAAAATGTCAGGAACGTTGCGCAACAGCCACAAAGAAACAATAGGCACGTTGAACGGGGCCTGAAGGGGGGTTTGGTGTTCTTTGACTAGTTGGCTATAAACCTCTTGAACTGAAAAAAAGGACAGACTTCTGACCACCCCAATGATTGCGGGGAAGGGTTCTGCTGGCATTGATATTGTTAATCCTCTCCCCGCGACTTCAACTGCAAAGTTTCAGGCATCTTCCCCAAGATTATCAGGAAACCCAAGCCCGCTAAGGGCACTCAATTGCATTGCCGTAAGGCCTTAGCAAGGCCGTAGTAAGGTTTGTTGCGAAAAGTAAGCCCTTGTATCCCTGGCAGGATGTCCCTAGCGGATTTAGTTTAATGGGAACCCAGCTTGATTGATATGGTGTGTTCCATGTTATACGGCATTTAGAGGAAACACGCGTGCTAAGAATCCACCGATTAGAACTCCAAGGTCAACATGGCGGCAGAGTGGCAACCCAAAGCCCGATTCTTCACATTCCCCTCTGCCCTGACCTTTGATACTCACTTCCTAAACAGGGCCAACAAGAAGCGCCAACTTGTTAAACCGACACAAATGAAATCCAAAAAGTATAAAGCCCAGAACGCGTTGAGCGCCTCACGGGCAAAATACGCGGTGTACACCAGAGCCCCCCAAACTGAAATGGCCTGTATGCTCAGTAGGAAACCAATAGGAAACCAATAGAAAACCAAACGTTTTGGAGTTCCCCCTATTCTGACACATTCCCATACGGAACAAATCGGGCTTGTTCCCATTATGGTCAACATCTGTCCCCACACCATTCGACCATACGCAAAGGATCTTTTGGAACCCTTGGACAACTTGTTTGGGGGCGCAAAACAAAGGTTTGCAATACCTCATCCTTTTCTTAGGCGGTGTTTAGGGTAAAATGCCTCGAAAAAAGAATGGCAACTTGGCTATCGAGGATCTTGAGCAAACCTTGTGGCAGACCTAGTCTCTCCCCAAACAAGCCAACACGCTGTCTTGGGCGCCCACCGTCGCCGGAGCAATCAAAGTGCCCACAAGTGCCATGGCTTGAAACGAAAGAGTTCCGAAACCGCACACCTTTCCTGCCAAGATCCTCTGTTGCTGGGATATCGCTCAAGGTGCGTTAGTTCGTCTGAGCGCACCGGACGCTTGCGGGCCGGATCTTTGAGACAGCTAGACGGCGAAACGGGCGTGGCATGTCGGCAATCCATCAATCAATCAGTCCATCCATCCATCCATCCATCCATCCATCAATCAATCAATCCATCAAGCAAGCAAGCAAGCAAGCAAGCAAGCAAGCAAGCAAGCAAGCGATCGATCGATCGATCGATCAAACAGTCAATCAATCAGTCAATCAATCAATCAATCAATCAATCAATCAATCAATCAATCAATCAATCAATCAACCAGCCAATCAAAAACTCAATCAATCAGTCAATCAAATCAAATCAAACCAAATCGAGTCAAGTCAAATCAAATCAAACCAAAATACCAAACCGAACAATCAAGCAATCAAGCAATCAAGCAATCAAGCAATCAAGCAATCAAGCAATCAAGCAATCAAGCAATCAAGCAATCCATCCATCCATCCAATCAATCAACCAACCAACCAATTAGCTGCGAGCTCGAAGAGCGAGGGCAACCCTACCCATAGGGAAGTGCTTTGTTTCACCAGAAGCTCCTCCTCAGCATCCCCTGCATCATCCGGACACAGGCCAGCCCAGACATTTGGATCCCAAAACATCCCTGGCCTTGCGACGGGCTCCTGATTCCACGTTGCCCAACCTTCAAGAATCACTGTAAATTTGCTGTAAATACCGTGCAAATGGCCCCCGACTGTCACCAGCATCCCCGCTAACATAGACACATGTCAACAAACAAACGACTCTAATCACACAACATACTTGAATAATACATACACAAGCCAATGACGAAATAAGTAAGTCAATGAAGAACTTAAACTGTGCTTGCCGAAAGCAAGCAAGCAAGCAAGCAAGCAAGCCAGCAAGCAGGCCGGCAGGAAGGCAGGCAGGCAGGCAGGCAGGCAGGCAGGCTATGTCGATGCCAAGATCGGTTTGAAAGGGGACCTGGTCCGCCACCACCCATCGGTCTTGTGGCGCGCTTTTCTCACATGGCCACGGACAAACTTCTTCCGTGCGCTGCTCTCCAAGGTCTCCCGCGTTGCTGGGATGACACAAAGTGGTGAATCAACCCTTGACCGGCCCACTTGGACTGGCTACAAGAGGTTCAACCGTCTTAACCCTAGACTAGAATGATGAAGAACCATGGCAACACAAAGCATAAGGTTTGGACGCTGAAAAACATCCAAAGATCGGGGGCAATACCACCAGTGCAAACAAGTCCCTTCCTGGCAATGAGAGAACACACAGCTCAGAACATAGAGACAGGAAGGTCGATTTGCTTTGGCCACCTCAGCAAGGAGACTGAAACCAGCCAAATACTGGTTCAGAGCCTCATAGCCCCATTGTCAAAATCAAGGGAAGAACACTTGCCCACTCAATAACGCGAATAGGGCAATGATGTATGAGAGGGGCCTACCCTTTTCGCTACCTTCCAAAGTGGTCTGAAAAGGCCCGCCGGTGCCCTGTTGGATTGCAACCCTCTCAAAGGGGAATTAGTCGGGGCAATTAATCGTATCTCATCCGCTGGAAAACAGGGACCCCTGACAACACGGGTTGACGTCACACCCCAGTGACGTTGCTATTGCCCAAAACGATTTGTTGGGCGCAGCAACTTTTCTTTTAGACGAGGACCGTAACCCACCCTAGCAAAGCGGGTGGCGATCGCGGCTGGTGCTTCGGAAGAAACCCAGTGGCCCGGGGTATGGAGCTGGGAAGGAACCATTGAGGATCCTCAAAAAGGGAGATGGGTATGGGTGTTTTTCTCGGTGCCATCCGCTCATTCCCTGAGAACCAGCAAATTGCCAAAGACCTGGAAACAATCACCTTTCGGGGTACCCGGCTCGCATCTGTCGTCTATCTCAGCTTTTGCCCCATCAACAATCAGATTGTTTATAAAATGTAAAATACTGTCAAGGAAGAACCAGCTGCTTACCCTGCCTTAACATAGAATCCAACAGGCATCTCTTTAGAGACGAAGTAAAGGGACACCAAACAATGCCAAACAATACTAAATCCTTGTGTATTTTGCTGCGTTAAACCCCAGCGGGCAGATTGATCTATGAAGCTGTCCAAGTTTATACTCACTTCTAGACGTCTAGGATCTGTTTGATGGTGCAGCTGTGGATTACCCCCTGGAACGTGCTCAAAGACAACCACAGAGTGCGAGAATTTGTGAAATCTCGAGTAACGAACCCAATTGCCCCCGCTATTGATACCATTGACACTGCACAGATTAAAACCGAGTTGGCAGACGGCAAAGAAATCCGCTGCACGCCTTGACGTCCTCCTCGGTGTACCCTGAAAGATCCTTCGGGCAGCTAAAATTCTTCTGAGGGTACCTGTTGTTGTGCTGGGTTTCAAGGGAATCAGACATTTTCGGGGTTCCCCTATTTAATGCAGCAATCCAGGTTGCAAAAACAAACGTTCAGTTCTGGGGAATCTCGTCAGCAATCCAAAAATGGAACCCTGAGCTGGTGTCCGTTTGGCTTCCCTTTAACCCCAACAAAAAACTACCCCAGCTTTTGCCCCCGAGCCCAAACAAATATGCTATAATGTATGGCCTATATTCAGAGAATCTCAAGATGTAGAATATGTTTCAACAAGACCCTGAAACACTGAAAAGCGGCAGCCTCAGAAAAGGACAAACCCATGCTTGACGTGAGTACCTAGGTGTTTTGGAAAATCGACGGCGCTGGTAAATGGAATCAATCAAAAACCCGCGCCTGTGTTCAACCACAAAAAAAGCACCTATGACTGGTGGAACGGTTGCTACGTGGCTATGAATTCCAATAGGGAACCACCTATCAAAGTTTGCCCACGTAGGGTTTATTTTGTAGACCCAAGCCTCTATTTGCATACACGGGGCTGAGGCAAGCGGTTTGCATCCACGATCAGATTGGTCAAGTCTGAACTTAATTGGGGTTCCTTGGACATCATTTGGGTGGGGCTTGTTCTTTGTGCCCACCATTCAGTGCTATTCGCCGGGCGAACTTCGTGCTGTCAAATGCAAAGCGTAGGAGTGCACCGTGCACACTCTCGAGCCTTTCCGTGGGCTTCAGCCTTTGTTTCTTTAGTTTGCGGTTGCGCAACTAGGAAGCGGCTAGAGCCTTGGCTTCTGTACCCATTGCAAGTGGTCCAGAAATCGGGCATCAACTTAATCAAGGGATTCAAGGGTGGACTTTGAGATCGACGACGTACTCGTTGATAAAACACCATGCGTGCTGGAATACGTCACTCTTCCTCCCGGCTAGTGCCTTCACCTGTTTTGTCCTTTGCGACTCACTGTCTGGCAAGGTGGCTTTGCCACGACAAAACAAAAAAAAAACAAGCAAATGTTGCGCGCTCATCACAAAGCAAGTCCATGTGAAATAGGGATCCCCACAAATGGGAATTCCACCTTCACCTAGTTCACTAGGTGAGGCCACCATGATTTTGCGCGCTATATACAATGGAAGCTGCACCATTTGCTGATATATTCAGGTGAGGTCATCCAGAACAGCTCGAGGGAAGATCAGCGAGGCCAAGCGGCCGGCTTCTCAAGCTGGTCATCAGTCCTCTCAGTTCTCACATGACGATGAGCATGCCTGCAATCGCTGCAATCCCCGGCGCTGCCAAAGCTGCCATGGAGATTTGGGCCGTGCCATAGGTGGTGGTGGCGAGGTTGTTCGTGGCACCTTGTAGGAATTTGTCTGGCTTGTTAGGGCTAGTTCAGGGTTTCTTTAGGCTTGGTTTGACTTTGGTTTAGCGCTGGTTTCGGGTTGGCTTAAGGTTGGTTAGGGTTAGCTCAAGGTTGGTTTAGGGTTGTTTAAGGTTGGTTTAGGGCTGGCTTACGTAGGTTGGTTTAGGGCTTGGTTTAGGGGCCTGGTTCAGGGTTGGCTTCAAGGTCAAGGGCTGGTTTAGGGGTGGTTTTGGGTTGGCTTAAAGTTGGCTTTGGCACTAGAGAGGCATTAGCCGGGTGGCCTGCAGTTAGGATTTGTGTTGTGGTTGGCTGCGCTACCAGAGGAGCGCGAGAGGATCTGGAGGAGCTGTGGAGGAGCACCATTGAAGAGTACTTGAGGAGAATCAGAGGAGCAAGAATATGGGAGGAGCTCTGGATGAGCCCTCAAGGAGCACTAGACGAGCACAAGAGAAAGTTTGACAAGAAGATTGGAGCACTGAAGGATTAAGGGTTGCTGAGGATTGGTTTAGGGCTGGCTTAGGGTTAGTTTGGCTGGTTTGAGGCGGGTTGGTTTAGGTCTGGTTTACGGTTGGTTTAGGGCTGGTTCGGGGGATGGCTTGGGGTTGTTTTGGGGCTGGCTTGGGGTTGGCTTAAGGTTGGTTTAGGGTGGTTTGGGGTTGGCTTAGGGTTGGTTAGGGTTGGTTTTGGTTGGTTTTGGTTGGTTTAGGGTTGATTGTTTGGTTTCGGGCTAGTTTGGGGTTGGGTGGGTTCAAGGTTGATTTAGACTTGGCTTCAGGTTGGTTTAGGGTGGTTTAGGGTTGGTTTAGGGTCCTAGGGTTGGTTAAGGGTGAGTTTAGGATTTGCTTAGGGCGTGGAAGGGTTTAGGGCTGGTTAAGGTTAAGGCTGGTTAGGGTTGGTTTAGGGTTGGTTTAGGGCTGGTTTAGGGTTGGTTTGGGGTTGGTTTAGGGGGGGAGAATTCTTGGAGGAGCATTAGAGAAGCATTGGTCTTGGTTTAGCGTTGGTGTAGGGTTGGTTTAAGGCCAGTTTAGAATTGGTTTAGGGCTCGTTTAGGGCTGGTGTTGGGTTGGCTTAGGGCTGGTTTAGGGCTGGCTTAAGGTTGGCAAGGCTGGTTTAGGGTTGGCTTAGGGTTGGTTTGGGGCTGGTGTAGGGGTTGGTTTAGGGCAGGGCTGGTTCAGGGTTGGTGAAGGAATGGTGTGGGGTTGGTTTAGACTGGTTCAGGGTTGGTTTGGTTTAGAGCTGGTTTGAGGTTGGTTTAGGGTTGGTTTAGGGATGGTTTAAGGTTGGCTTTTTGGTTTAGGGTGACTTAGAGTTGGTTTAGGGTTGGTTTAGGACTGGTTTAGGGTTGGTCTGGTTTAGGGCTTATGGTTAATTTAGGGTTGGTTTATATAGGGTTGGCTTGGGGGTGGTTTAAGGCTGGTCGAGGGTTGGCTTAAGGTGGTTTAGGGTTGGATTAGTAGAGAAGCACTAGGTGAGCACTAGACAAGCACTAAGAAAGTGCAACAGGAGCGCAAGAGAGCACTAGAAGAGCACCAGAGAAGCAGTAAAGGAGCACTAAAGACTCTCCGCACTTCCCAAAAACAAAAAGACACATGAAAGAACTAAAAACCAATCAAATACTACCTCCAAACTACTTAGGCGGTCGTTTGTGCCGGTGCTGTAGCCGAAAGAGAGGCAGTTGGGTTTCATGCCAATCATGCCGGGAAGACCAGCAGTTTTAACCACTACCGGCGCACAGGCGCTGCTGGTGGCCGCGCACTCCAGGGGCCCAATCACGGGACACACCGCCTCCAGCACGGCGGTCATATTGGTCGAGCTCATGGTGGCCTCCACCGAGGCCACCTGAGCAAACGAGTAGGAAGGGCAGGCGGTACACACGCAGCCCAAGAGTGGGATCAATTGCACGAGATCGGCGGGTACCGTGCTCTGATTGGACATGCAAGTCACGGCAGTGTTGTGAGAGCACATCACATCGAGCATGCCGCCCGTCATGTCATTCACCGTTGCCCGGCGAGGTAGCTGCTGGGTGAAGTTCGTCAGTTCCGTGATCAAGGTGTCCAGACCAGAGCAGGAGCTCAAACAGGCGGCGTCGACGGTCAAGTCAAGCAGCCGGCGAGCGGTGGGTGGACAGGGGCAGCGGCTCCATATCGCTTGCACCGCTTGCTGCCCAAGACATGAGGACGAGGAGTGTGGCCTTCATGACCTTCGCTCGAGATTGCTACACGCAGCTGCGCAAATCGGTCCACAGACCTTATTCCCAAAATCAACGCCCACAAGATCCGAATGATAGGGAAGTTCTCACAACCACCAGCAAGACTTAGGCAGCTTGCCGGGCGTAAATCCTTGCCGTGGAAAATCTTTGGGTATCGAACCCCACCCCCACCCCCCACCCCCCCACCCCTCGCCCGGATGTCTCCAAACGCCATGGCCTCGCGAAAGGCCCCGCTGTCGCTGCGCCGCGCCGCGTCGGTTTCCCTGAGAGAGGGGAAATCAACGGAAATTTACCAACAGAAGTACAACGGACATGTCTTACCCACAGAGGTTTTCTTTTGCGAAACATAGGGAAAACAATTACCAACCAAGGTTTGATAGCTGGAAAGTTGCAACTGTTCAGTAGTATACGCAGTACACTTTGGCGGCTCCGGCTCGAAAGTCGGAGCTGTTCAGTGCAAATAAGTGTGCTCCAACACAGAAATCGCAACTTTTCAGTACACTTGAGCAAGGGGACACGAAAGCAGCAGCAGGTCATGTTGAAGGGACAAACCTGGTTCAGGGCAAGAAAGAACTGGAAATTCTGGTGCGTGGGGCCCTTGTTTGGAAGGCAGCATGATGCGACCGGATTGAAAGAAGTCCGAGTTGTGTCCCGGTAGGGTGGCACGGCCGCAGTTTCGAGCGAAGCTTTTTCGAGCGCAGAAAATTGTGCAGAAATCTGTTTGGGGCAGTTGTTTGTCGGTTGCCACGGGCCTGCACGCATATGCGCAGGGTGCATCATTTTTGGGGAGGCTGCCAAATCAGAATCCGCGCTTTCTCTGCACCACTTGCACTTGAGGCACGAACGATTTCGACGTGAGTTCAGTTGCAGAAGAGGCTACCAATTGTTAACGCTTTCGACACGAGTTCAATCGCAGAAAGAGGCTAAACGACGTGAGCAGAAAGAATATCAAAACAAATTTACCTCGCAAAACAAAGGGTCCACCAAACAAGAGAGGAAGACCAGAGGGCGGACCAGGGGTTGAAGGGGAGAGGGAGGAGTTGAAGGGGGGGAGGGGGGGGGGGGCGGCGGTTAGGCATTGGGGGCTCTGCAAGGACCTGCTAACGCAGGATGTACTCAAAGTAGCCACCAAAAGGATACCTTTCGGGAAATGTAGTACACAGCAGCTGGCTGGTATGGCGGTTAATGAGTTGGGTATCAATTGGGCGACGGTTTTGGTATCGGCCTGGGCCCTGCAAATTTGTGATTCCGCAATCTTGGTTTGCGACAACAACTTGGACATGATGAGTGTTTTCATGGCTTCTGGCGGTATCGGTTTTCTTTCCTCAGTATTGGTTTACAATGGCTTTGGCCTGCAAACCAGGTTAACGGGGCCCATCTAGGTTTGACATTGCCTGAGTCCCCCTATCAAATGGCGGCCATGAGCAAATCTTGCGGTGAGAGGAGTGATGTCTTTCTTGTCCACTACCTTGGGCTATGTGCTTGTTGGCCGTCTCCTCCTTTTTGGGACCATGTTGAAACACTGCTATAACCCAAGCTCTATTTCACGTGTTGCTTGGGTTTCTTTTGGCTTCGCGCTTCCCTTGTGAATCCGTCCCAAAATTGGCACAAACTCAGGTCACCCTGTAAGAGGAGGCCCCGCATGTGCACTAAAATGCGCAACCACAAAACAATGGTAAATGGCCAGAAACTACAAAGTTCTGCTTGTTTTCGTAATGGCAATATGTAGGGCGTCCCTTTGCGTACTTGCCTCACACAGAACTTGAGGCAGAATCAGGATAAGTGAGGGGCAAATCCTTCCAGCTGATCAAATCACCCCTAGAAAGCGTTCAACTCCCCATCTAGACCAGTCAAATCCCTCTACAGAACGGTCCAACTCCAGTCAAAGCTTGCTAGGAAGCGGTCAAATTATCTCTCTCAAAGCGTCAAATCCCTCTTGAACCTGGTCAAATTCCCCTCCAGAAGCCAATCCCCTCCGGTCAACCTAAAAAATTGCCCCTTCACTTGGCCCAAGCCCACTGCCTCTCTGCGGCTCTCGTTCTGGCCCTTGAAGCCATGTGGAAACACGCGGACATGCACCCACCCTACTAAAGCACGGTATATACAGTACCTCAAAGCCAGCCGCAAGCGGACCGGCCGACGCGGGCAACGCGAAGCGTTTATCATTAACTTTAACCGTGGGTTATATGCCAGCGTTGCATTTGTTGCTTGCCCAGACTTGATTCCAGGCTTCCTCTTTGGTAAAAACAAGTGGGTGTACACGTAGGACCTAGGTGTGTTGGACAAATCCACGGCGAAGGTAAATGGAACCAATCAAGAATCCGTGCCTGTGTTCAACCACAAAAAGGACACCTATGACTGGTGGAACGGTTGCAACGTGGCTATGAATTCCAGTAGGGAACCTCACAAGAGGTCCCTTATTAAAATTGCCCACGTACGGAGACCCCAATGCGACTCCACTTTTCGGAGGTCCCTCTATTTGCATACAAGGGGAAGGGTATGCGGCTTGTATCCACAACGATCAGATTGGTCAAGTCTGAACTTACTTGGGCTCCTTGGTGGACATCAAGTTAAAGATGCGAAGCTGGGCGAACTTAGTGCAAGTGCGCGCTGTCAAAGAAGTGCACCAGCACTCTCGACCCTTTCTCCCTTCACTGCCTTCGTTTCGTGACTTCAACCTATGTTTCGTGACTTCAGCCTTTGTTTCTTGCATGCGGTTGCCCACACGCAACTAAGAAGCAAGTTGAGCCTTGGTCCTCTGCATCCATTGTCGGGCATCAACTCACCAAAGGGATTCAAGGGTGGCCTTTGAGATCGAAGACGCTTCGTTGATAAAACACCATGCTTGCTGGAAACGTCACTCTTCCTCTCGCGTGGCGCCGTCATCTGTTTTGCCCTGTGCGACTCAGTGTCTGGCCACATGATTGGCTTTGCCATGACTAAAAAAAGACAAGCAGATTCTGCGCTCATCACAAAGTGCAGCAGCTGAATACCATTCCATCTGGGAAGTCCATGTCATGTGAAATGGGGATACCCACAAATGACATCTGCATCACCCAGAATTCCATGTTCACCTAGTCAGGCCACTATGATTCTGTTCCCAAGTCCCTTTTTGCTGATAATTCAGAAAGCCACCTTTGCAACCTCCAGCAAGAGGATAGAGCGACAGCACACGCTCCCACAGCCATCCTCGGATTTGATGTTACGCCTGTCACTGCAGGCCATGATAAAAGGTTCAAACAATGCTGGCACACTAAATGGTGGAATGGGCGTTGAAGTGTCAATTTGCAAAATCCGTGAGAACAGCGGCTTGACAAGCGGGTTGGCCGGCTTATCAAGCTGGCCATCAGTCCTCCCAGTCCTCAGATGACGGCGAGCATGGCTGCAATCGCTGCAATCCCCGGCGCTGCCAAAGCTGCCAGGGAGATCTGGTTTACGGTGGTGGTGGCGGTAGCCAAGTCGTTGGTGCCGGTGCTGTAGCCGCCGGAGGTGCAGTTGTCCTTCATGACGGTCATGCCGCTAAGGCCGGCGGTTTGATTCAGTACCGGTGCACAGGCGCTGCTGCTGGTCACGCACTCGAGGGGCCCGATCATGGGACACACCGCTAGCATCACGGCGGTCATATTAGCCGCCGCCCCAGTCATGGACGAGAGCAAGGTGGTCATCATCGAGCCCAGTCCAGAATAGAGGTTCTTGAAGGAAGGGCAGTCGGTACAAACGCAGTCCAAAAGTGGGATCATTGACTGGAGCTCGGCGGGTGGCGTGCACTGAGTGGACAGGCAAGTCATGGCGGGCTGGTGAGTGCACATCACATCGAACATGCCGCCGATCATGTCCATCGCGTTTTCCCCAGCACCGGCCATCTGCTGGCTGAAGTTCGCCAGTTCCATGGAAAAGGTGTCCAGACCAGGGCAGGAGCTCATGCAAGCGGCGTCGATTTGCAGCCGGCGAGCCACGGACAGCGGCTCCATGTCGCTTGCACCGCTTGCTGCCCAAGACATGAGGACAAGGAGTGTGGCCTTCAT